AGTCGGTTCATACTCATATCGACCCTGTATAGGGTTTTCAAGGAGCAGCTGGTGGGTTTGAACCACGGACCTTGTGGTTAGCAGTCCAGTGCTGATCCTACAGGGTAGGAGCCAACTTGACAGTATTTAACATGCCCTATAAGAGGATTAAACATTCTCTCACTGCCCCCTCCTGGCCATGTCACTTTCTAGAATAGACTGAAGAGTGTCCTCCCAAAAGGATATATTGAGGTCTTAACCTACGTGAGTGAAAGGAGAGGGCGATGAGAGGCACTGAAGAGGAAGGTCAGATGAAACGAGGCACAGATTGCAGTTACGCTGCCTGAAACCAAAGAACACTTTGCGCCACCAGAAGCTGGAATACGCAAGGCAGAGTTCTCCCACAGAGCCTTTGGAGGGAGTGTGGGCCTGCTGACACCCTGATTTCAGACTTCTGGCTTCCAGAATGGTGAAAGAATAAATCTCTGTTGTTTTAAGCCATCAGGTTTATGGCAATATGCTCTGGGAGCCCTAGGAAACAAATTCCACTTTCTTCGGCCAATGAAATGTGGACAGACGCAATATATGCCACTCTGCGTAGAACTGAAAGAGATACTGGGTGTTTCTCTTTTGTTGTCTTGTGCTTTTCTCTCTCATGAGGATGCAAATCCAATCAGAGTCTGCTATTCAGCCTAGACCCTGAAATAAAGATGTGTGGAACGGAATCGCCACTGACAAAGCAGCCAGCGTTGACATGAAAGGTGAGAAAAGACTGTTTCTGCTTTGAGTCACTAGAGCTTTTCAGTTTGTTTATTACACAGCATAATCTAGGGAAAAGTCACTAAACCAGTAAGCAACACAGACATGATTCCCAGGTTTGAGGAGGCTGCATCTAGTAGAATATCTATTGCATATCTGAGGGGGCTTCAAAAGCTTGTGGAAGAATTATTTTCCATTTTTCCGTGAGCCTTTTGAAGCCTCCTTGTATCATCTATACCATGAATATTGTTGTTTTTGTTGTTTTCTATGTAGCGTCTTGTTTCTAAGAGTTTCCTACTCAGGCACGTCTGGTCTTGAATACACGAGTACACAAGGCAAGTACGGTATCTTTTACTTTACTGAATGAAAGTCTATTCTGGGAACTACCAAGAAATGTGTATGGCATGATTTCTAGGAATCCTGCTGTCTTTCATACTCCTTTACATCTTTTATTTTTTATGTATCATCAAAGAAACACAACAAAATAAATCAGAGTTAAAAAGAACAAGCTAAAGCTGAAATTTTACAACAATCTACCAAAAATGATGATTTCTTTAAATGAAGATTTTGGTTATCAGAAAAAAATATAGTCATTACATGAAGAAAAGGTGTCCTGGTGTGGTGCTGTGGGTTAATGTACTGGACTGCAAAGTCGGTTTGAACCACTATGTTGGTGGTTCAAGCTCACCAGCCACTCCTTGGAAACTCTTTAACAGGGTCACTGTGGGTTGAAACCAACTCGACAGCACTTTAACAACATGAAAAAAAGAGCAGGAATTATTGGTAAATTATTAGTATGCTTCTGAAAGTTGTTAATTAGTAATTGATTCTATTTGTTGTTGTTAAGTGCTGTTCAGTCAGTTCTGACCCAAAGCAACCTTGTGGTTTAAACCAACTTTGCAATCCAGCCCACTAACCCACAGTGCGCCACACCGGGACTCTGAATTAATTCTATAACTAGGAAAAAATATTCTCAAGTGACATTTAAATATAAATAGACAAAAATGTACATATGACTAAAAAGAGAAGATATTGTTCATGTTTTCATGTCTACATTGCTCTAATGATTAAAAATATTTTAAAATGTTTTAGAACAATTTTTGAGATGCTCAAATGTTTCACTTTTGGGTATATGTAAACAGAAAGTCTCGTCTTCAGAGAAATAAAATTAAAGGGACTAAATGTGGTTTAAAGGGACTAAATTTAGTCCCTAGAAAGGAACTAAAAAGAGCTCTGATAGCATAGTGGTTATGAATTAGGCTGCTATCCTCAGGGTCAGCAGTTTGAAACTACCAGTTGTTCTGCGGGAGAAAGATGAGGCTTACTGCTCCCGTAAAGATTTACAGCCTCGGAAACCCTGTACATGGTCGCTATGAGTCGGAATGGACTCCACGACACATAACAACAAAGGAACTAAAATGGGCCTGTGTGGCTCTGTAAGACATGCACTAGGAAATCCTATAGAGAATCACTATGAATTGCACTTGGCATCATACAAGAACAACAACAAAGATGTTAGGTGTTCACTTCAAAGTCTGAACAAAGTACTTTTACAGGATTTTAGCTTTAAGAGCACTATCTTATTATATAATTACTTTAAATAATTACCGGTCTTTTCTTGTACAAAAGGTATGACAGATGCAAAATGTTGATAGTCAAGAACACAGAGTTCCATATCATTATATCCAAGGCACATCGGTAGAGAGTGGCCCAGATGATATAAAGCATACATCCTGTTGAATAACAAAGTCATCATGTTAGATGGCTACAGTACACCATCAATACGTCACTGAATGTGTTATCCTCTGTACATAATAAATTGAATCAAACCAATTTTTAAAATACTTAAGCATTATGAAAACCAAATAGCACAGCAAACTGAAAGTCCATTTTGTCAGATTACAAAAGAAAACATATGCTTTTAGAAATAAAATCTGTAAAGTTCAAAAAATGTTATTCAAAAGGAAAAACAATGTAAAACCTAAAACTATAAAGACCATCAATGTAAAAATAGAGACATATCTGGGGTCTTAAGGTGTGGCACTGTAGGATCAACACAGGGCTGTTAAACCTCAAGGTCGGCAGTTCAAATCCACCAGCTACCACTCAGAAACCCTATGTAGAGTTGCTATGAGTTGGAACCCACCCAACATTACTTAACAACAAGGTAAAGCAGAGGTGTAACACTGTAGGATAAGCACTGGTCTGCTAGCCACAAAATCATCTGTTCAAACCTACCAGCCGCTCCTCAGAAATGCTAAACATAATTGTTTGAGTTGGCAATGACTCGACCACATTTAACAATGAAGGTCAGACACTGGGGTGCTAACTGCAAGGTCAACAGTCCAAACCCAGCTCGTACTCTGGACAAAGATGAAGCTATTTGCTCTTGTAAAGAGTTACTCTCAATAACCTTATACAGGACCACAATGCCTCAGAACTGACTAGATGGCAGTTAATTTGGTTTGGTTAATCTATGGCATAAATGAAGTCCTGGTGTGGTGCTGTGGGCTAATGCGTCAAACTGCAAAGTTGTCTGAACTGCAAGATTGGTGGTTGTAGCTCACCATCTGCTCCTTGGAAACCCTATACAGGGTTGCTATGGGTTGGAATCAATTTGACGGCACTTAACAACAACAACATGGCATAAATACACTATCAAAGATAACTGAAAACACACAAACAGCAAAAGACAAACTAGATGACTAGGACCTCCTAAAAAGTAGACATGATGTGCATCAAAAGATTTCACCAATGCCAAAAGCAAAGCTATAAAATAGGAAGAAAAAAAAATCGACAAAGGCATGCCAAAGAAGGGACTAATCACTAAAATTTACAGAAATCTTCAACACCTCAACAAGTAAAAAACAAATAATACAAATAAAAAATGGGTAGAGACCATGAACCGGCACTTCACTAAACAAGACACTCACTCAGTCAACAAGCATATGAAGAAGGCATGCTCCTGATCATCAGAGATGCAAATCAAAACAAAGTGAGCTAGAATCTGATGCTAGCATCAATAACAAAGTTCAAAAAAACAGAACACAACAAATGCTGCAGGGAGTGTGGAGAGACTGGAACCATTCTACGCTGCTGACACTGCCAAATTGTGTGATCACTGTGGAAAATGGCATTGTGCTTCCTTAAAAAGTTGGAAATAGAAATACTATATGACCCAGGAATCCCTATACTTCATATATATCATAGAGAAATCAGAGCAGTGACACAAATAGACGTAACAAATAGATATAAAGAGTGTCATCACAGCACTATTCACATTAGCAAAAAGATGGAAACAATCTCAATGCTTATCAGTGAATAAACAAAGTATGGTACACACACAATGGAATACTATGCAAAGTTAAAAAATAACAGTGATTCGGGAAAACACCCCATATCATGATCATGCTGAATGAAATAAGTCAATCACAAAAGGTCACATATTGTATGAGACCACCACTATATCAAGTCAAGAAAAGGTTTCCACACTAAAAGAAACATTCTTTAATGGTTACCAGAGGTGGGAGGGCAATGGAGAGTTAAGTTACTAACTAGAGAGTACACCCAGATTGGGTGAAGGGAAGGCAAGTAAATAAAATGTGTTGGTTGTGGATGGCACTTTACATAGCTAACAAAATAAAACAGAATAAAGCCAGGTTAAAACTTGTTTTGCTTCCCCTCTAAGACTGAAACTCAAAGGGAAGACATGAACAGGCATGTAAACTTGCTGGTGACCACATTGGTCTACTGTTGAGTGAAGAGGCAGAAAGACAACAGTAAAGAAATGGGCTGAGTTCAACCACAGTCCATTGATTCCCGTTGACCTGGAGATGAGAGAGAGAAGAGGAAGGGCTGGTTGGTCCAAAGCGTGGTAAGACCTGGGGACACCTGAGTCCATGGACAAGGACACAGCCACAGAGGGCTAGAGTTGAGAATGAAGTGTCCAATAAAGTGAGGGGAGGCACACAAGAACACCCAAAGTTGCAGATAGTACCCATTTGACCTAGCCTCGATGGCTTGATGATCAGAACTCAACTAGAGGAAGATTAAAAAACAGCAACAATAATTTTTGATAAAGGAAATGAGGATAAAAGGGTAAATTGCTACAGTTTGATGAAACTGACGTATACTCATTGAGGTAATAGCTCAAAATATCAAGAGAGGGAAGGAGTCTTTACATCAAGTATCAACGCTATCCCCTCTGTACACAGGGTAGATAGTGATGGGCAACCTAGGCATTTGTTACCTAAAATGAGGGGGCGATAACGGCACGAAGTGACTGGTTTACAAGGTTTCAAGAAGTAGTTTAGTTTAAGAGTGTGTGGGAGAAGATAGAGTTGCCACTGAACAGTTTTTATCTTGTCTAGATGGGTCTGGTATAAAAAGATGGGGATAAGATTCTTATGATTCAATAGTGAGTAATCGTTATCATGACTAATTGCGACTGTAACAATTGTAAAGATAGAAGTTTTGTAACAAAAATGGGGGAGAAGTTAATCTTACAGTCCAGAAACAGAGGACCCTAGGATCATCAAGGGAAAAGAGCCCAAGTGGAATGCGGGACCTTATCCAGAGAAGCAGAGACACCAGAGATGAAGGCAGAGATGGGGACATGGAGAGGAGGAACGGCTGAGGACTCTAGAGTCACGGAAAGAGAGGGACTGAGAGCTAGCAGCCAGGAGCCCTTTGGTTGTTTAAATTATTAAATATACCTGAGTGTATTAAAAAAAAAAAAGAGCTAAATTGAATAGCGAGAAATACTTTTAACTGATGGTACATGGAGGGTATTATAATCATTGTAATGAAACAAAGTATATGATTTGTTGAAAGTAAAACTGATGATCTGCCCAGTAAACTTTCACTCAATTCACAATAAAAACTTTAAAAGAAAACAAAACCCAACAACTTGTTTTGCTTACAAAATATT